AGCAAAATTTTCCGGCCCAACATGCTGAGGCTGAGAAACATACTCTGCCACCGTAAACTTAGAGATGCTGAAGAAAAAATGACATCAAGTGTCCAGATGCCAGGTGCCTTCCTAGAGGGTGCCAGTCCTGGGAGCAATGGTGTGTGTGAACTACCTTGGAACTCAGTACAGTGAGGCCAAGTGGCCCGTGGGTGAAAGGGAAATGTTCACGGCCTGTTTTTCTGATCCAGGATGGCCAGCTGCTCACCATCAGGTGGAGAGCGTCTGCAGTGGCGGGCAGATGCCCTCTTGGAGGACCAGCACTAGAAACCTCTTGGAACGAGCTCCAGTCACAGCAGGCAAAGGAAGTGTCCTACTGTTGCCCGGTGCCACAAAATGCTCTCTATCAGTGGCACGTGGCCAGGTGGAAATGTGGAGGATCGTGACGGGACCCCAGGAGGGAACAGAACACACAGCTGCTGACTGCGGGCCAGCTTCCCCACAGCTCCATGCCAGAGACAGTAGCTCCCTGGAAGCCCGGGCATCAGGGGAAGGAAGCCTAGCTGGCAGGTTTACTGAGAAGCCAGGCCTGCAGGAGAAAGGACTTCATTAGAAGGGACATGGCCAGGCCTCGTGCCAGGAGAGCTGGGTTGTCTCTCTCCTGCCTGGCTCCCCAGCCCATTTCCCTTGCTTTTAGTGTGCACATGCATCCCGGAAAACCACCCCCTCCTTCACTTTCAAAAGTGTTTTAGTCCGGGCCTGGGCATGGTGGTATCCAAGTGTGTAACCCCAGCTGTTCTGGAAGCAGAGCCAGAAGGACCGTAAGTTCAAGGCCAGCTTGGGCCACTTAGATGCTGTCTCCGAAAAGAGGGCCGAGGCAACGTCGGCCAGGGTTGCAATTCCAGCACTTGGGAGGCAGAGGCAGGAGGATATCAAGTTTGAGGTCAGCTGGGCTTCTCAGTGAGACCATCTCAAAAACACCAGGAAGGTGCCTCAATTATGAAAATATAAGGCTACTCTATTGTACATGTTTCTCCTAACAATGTTTTTCTTCCATTATATTTATTTTAAAAAATTGTACCAAAGGGATACACGACTTAACATCCAGGGCCAGTGAGATGGCATAACTTGAAATAACTCGGCCTGTGCAGATAAGGGGGAGACTCAGGGTCCACACGGCGGAAAGAGCAGACAAACTCCAGTAAGGTGTCCTCTGACCTCCACACATGCTCCGTGACCCCATGCCCTTTCCCCCCATAAGTACAGGTTTAAGATGAAAAAGGGTCATTGATGTAATCTCAAAGAATGGTTATCAATTCATAACGGCATGTTTCCCGACCCGTTTTTTTGATAGGGAAGTGGGGCAAACAATTCAAATCCCTTGAAAAAAGAGAAATCTCTTTTTTTGTGTGTGTGCATTTCAAACTCCCCCGCCCAGTCTTTGCAGACTCCGCTGGGAACTGCGATGGCTGGAGGAGCGAGGCGTGATCATCTGTACACTAGAAAATGAGTTTGAGTCACTGGGCTGTGCAGCGTGATGAGCTCTGCGCAGAGGCCCATTTTCCCCAAGTCAGCCCCCAGATTTCGCTGCTGTTCTGGGAGTGAGCAAATTTGTGCCATTCAAGATTCATCCTTCCAGAACGCTCCAGGCAGCTAGGGGGGAGGGGGCAGACGGAGCTTGAGTCAGGGGAGCAGCTTGGGCCAGAGGAGGATTGCACACAACTGGGATGGGACAGGGTTCCTCTGTGTAGCCCCGGCTGTCCTGGAACTCTCTCAGTAGACCAGGCTGGCCTTGAACTCACAGCAATTCACCTGCCTCTGCCTCTCAAGTGCTGGGATTAAAGGTGTGCGCCACCACGACCTGGTTTATTTCTCTTAAGGAAAGACAACTTCTGTTTCACTCACCAGAACAACTAGTGCCGCTAAGAAGCCCTCCTACGTGTAATGCCACTAATTCAGTGGGTCTAAAGTCCCCTGTCATCCAGTTAGTGGCAGGCAGCGAGGTGGGGGTTAGTTAGCACAAACCAAACACAAACAGGAATCTGATTGGGCAGCTGCCATCTGAGGGTGTCAGCTGAGACCTTGGCTGTTGACAGGGGAGTCGTCTGTCATGTGAGGTTTAGTTTTCAACCAGCTGTAGGAACTTGGGTCTTCAGCTTACTCTTGAGAGTCTGTCCCCGCTTTTCCTTAAGAGTTCTAAGTTTTCTCTGGGGGAAAAAACCCATAGAAACAAAACAATGACGATGCCCCTCTCCCCTGCTGGATAACAAAACAAATCCCCCCAAAAGTAGAGTGGTCTCCTCTAGGACTTCCTCCCACCATGAAACCACGAATGCTCTCCAGCCGCCTGTGGACAGTATCGTCAGGTCCCTCAGACCCACTTTGTCCTTTCTCAATATAACAGGGTCAGGACAGAGATTTTTCTCCCCACCAGAAAGGGTCTGGCTGTGTAGCCCTGACTGGCCCAAGAACAAGATGGCCTCTAACTCTGTGATGATCTCCTGTCTCTGCCCACAGAGTGCTGGGATTCTAGGTGTGTGCACTACTCCTTGCCGAGGACAGATTTCCAAGACCCCTGCTGGTGTATATATTTTAGGGATAATATCTCTCTCTCTCTCTCTCTCTCTCTCTCTCTCTCTCTCTCTCTCCTTCCTTCCTTCCTTCCTTCCTTCCTTTCATTTCCCCAAGCTTTACAGCTAGAGAGGCCAGAGGTCTGAGTATGGCACCTTACCCGTGGAGCGCAGAAGTTTGGGAGACATTTTCAGTTTGGTTTCTTTAGGTCTACGTGCGCAGAAGAGATCACCTTACCAAGGGATTGTTTTCAGTGCTGGAAGCAATGGCTGTGCTGTTAAGAGCATTGGCCAGTGCAGGGGGTGATGGAGTTACTCTGTCCTCTAGCCTTTTTCAACCCCTTTCCCACCCTGCTCCAGATACTTGCTTTCTCTTCTGGGATCCCCCTTTCTGGTGTCTGACTCAAAGTGTCATGTCGTCTTCTGGACTGGGACTTGGGGGCGGGGGCTTTCCAAGGAAGGATGAGTAGGCGTAGAAGGGTTTGTGTTAAACACTGCACAATACCCATTGTTCTTACCTATGGGTTGGGATGGGTGCAAAGGAGGTCCCTAAAGCAGTAGGCAATTGCTTCTCTTTAGTTCACCTGCTCATGTGCTGCCACCTAGTGGTTCCCTCTCCTTTAGCACCCTGGGTAATAGGGAGATGTTCTAGATACTTCTCTAAAACAACAACCCCCACCGCAGACCCCCAATTGTCCCATTTCTCTCACCTCTCTAGCCATCATACAAAGAGTTGTTTCCATTTTTTATTTTTTATTGTGTCTGGAAATGAGTCATTATAAGATTTTTTTTTTCCGGTTTGAGAAACTTGGGATCTACCAGCATCCCTGCGTGCTGTCTGGTTTCCTTCTCTCCTGTGGTGGTGTGAGAGGCAAATTTACTTACAGTATGGTCCTGACAGAGGTGGCTTCTGCCAACCCAGGGCCGCTCCGAATAGGCAGCTTTGGTATAAAATTTCTATAGCTGCTCAGGTGCCTGTCTTGCAAATTTTCTTACGTAGAGCCTGGCAATAAGAGCTTAGTCCTTACTGAGCGTTACCAATGCCAGGTCCTTCTCCGAGTACACAGGACTTGACAATCCCTTTCATCTTCCTAACTACCCAGCGATCTGCTGAGATAGAGCACAACCCTTCTTCACAGAAGAAACGGAGGCACCAAATACCAACACATCCCAAACTGGAAAAAGTTGTACTCCTGGGTTCTCTGGTTCCGGGATTTGTGCTCCCAACCACTGTTTTGTTGCCTCTTCAATGTGCAGAACTGTGTGCCGGGGACTGGAAAGGGACCAGGGAGCCCTGCATTAGAGAACCCCTTGGAAAGCACTTCCTCAGCCCATCTGGGACTTCATGCACTGCAGGCCAGGGGCTCATGGAGGCACTCTCCAACGTGCTGATTCCCGGGCCTTGCTTCGGTCTCTCTCAGAGATTCACCACTTTAGAAAGAGCAACCAAGTAGCCAACCAAAGGCAGTCTGAGGAACTGACTGGACACTAGCGGTCCTGGGTTCCAGAGATGACTGTCCGGAAAGACAGCCACAAACCAACTTCCCTGGCTAGGCTTTTCTGATTGTCCCTTCCCACTTTGCAGATGGTAAGAATGCCCAGCAGTGACATTTTGATACAATTAAAGCAAGTTTGGGGCTGGAGAGATGGCTCTGTGCTTAAGAGCAATGATTGCTCTTCCAGAGGACCTGGGTTCAATTCCCAGCACCCACATGGCAGCTCACAGCTGTCTGTAATTCCAGTTCCAGGAGACCCAACACCCATGGCAAAACACCAATGCACATAATAAATAAATAAAAACAATTTCATTCATTCTTTCTTTGTGTGTGTGTGTGTGTTTTTTTTCCAAGATAGGGTTTCTTTGAGTAATAGTCCTGGTTGTCCTGGAACTCACTTTGTAGACCAGGTTGGGACTGAACTCATTAAGATCCACCTGCTTCTGCCAGGTGGTGGCAGCCTGCATCTTTAATCCCAGCACTTGGGAGGCAGAGGCAGGCGGATCTCTGTGGTTTAGAGACCAGCTTGCTCTACATACACAGCTAGTTCCAGGATGGCCAGGAACCCTGACTCAAAAAAAAAAAAAAAAAAAAAACCAAACCAAAACAACAACAACAACAACGAAAAATAAAACAAAACAACCCCCCAAAACCCCACCCAAAACAGAGCAAAAACAAACAAAGAAAAGATCACCTGCCTCTGCCTCCTGAGTGCTGGGATTAAAGTTTCTTAGCATTTACTTGTTATTTATGCATGTGTGTGGGTATACATGTGCCGTGGTACACGTGTGCAGGTCAGAAGACAACTTGGGGGAATGGGTTCTCTCCTTCCACCATGTGAGTCCTGGGGACCAAACTCAGGTCACCCATCAGCTTTGACAGCAGGTGCCCTCACCTACAGAACCATCTTGCCATCCCTTGCTACCATCAGAGGAATTCAGCCCCACCACACAAGGAAAAGAAACATCTAAACTTTATTTGTGCTTTGAGAGCCACCAGCAACTTCCTCCTCCCGCGGTTTCTGTCAGTGTCAGCTTCTTTGTTGCAAGCGGTTTCTGTCAGTGTCGGCTTCTTTGTTGCAAGCTTGTAGACAAGGTAGAGATGGGTGCGTGGACAAGGCTTACAGAGGGCAATATAAGCTAGGAGCTGGCTGCTTTCAGGAGTAGACCTGGCGAACTGTCCTCTTCCTACTTGCTTTATTGGTGGTTTAAAGTCATGTAAAGTGGCAGGATTTTGGGTCTGTTCAGCCGCGTAGAGGATGGGAATTCCTGATGGTATGTTTCTTCAGGAAGGCAGGATGGAGAGAAGGGTGTGTTCCCTGAAAGATGGAAAAAGTGAATTTTCTTTTGTGACTCAGAATGGAGAAATATGGGTACGGGGCAGCTCTGCGCTGGTAGAGTGCTGGCCTCGAACACACGAAGTCCTGGATGCAGCCACCAGCACAGCACGAACTGGGTATGATAGTGCCCACCTGTCACCCCAGACCCAAGAGGTGGAGGCAGGGGATCAGAAGTCCAGTGTCATCCCAGTTACAGAGCAAATCTGAGGTCATTTAGGATCTATAAGATGATGTCTCAAAAAAAAAAAAAAAAAGGGGGTGGAAAGAAGAAGTCTGCAGAGATGGCTCAGTGGTCAAGAGCGCCTGCTGGTCTTCCAGAAGACCCGGGTTCGGTTCCCAGCACTTACATGGTGGCTTACAGTCAGCCACCACTCCAGTTTTATGGGATCCAGTGCCCCCTTTTGGCCTACCGATCTATCCTGAAACTTATTTGGCAACAGCCTCTCTTTTGCTTCTACTGCTGGGTAGTATTCGAACCCACGAATGCCCCACAGTTTCTTGCCTTGCACACTTGGACACTGAGCTCATCGCCAGTCCTTTCCGATACAAACACCCATGCTTTTGTTCTTCCCGTTGGGCATGCATGTGGCATGCATGCAAGGACGCTGGTGGGATAAATTCCTAGACATCCTAGTGGGTTAAAGGGCACGAAGGGCTACACTTTAAATAGATCCAAAGTTAAAAAAAAAAGGAGGGGTGAATTAGTTTCGATTTGACAGAAAAATTCCACCCCATCTGCACCCTGATCAGTAAACAGAGTCTTCCTTGGGGAAGTCATAAAGTCAAACCTGGAGCAACAGCCCCGAGCTGGGGCTTCGAGAGTGCACACGAGCACTGGAGAGCAAGGTCTATCTTACGTATGAGTGAATTCACTCAGCTGCTGCATGCTAGAGAGGGACCTGCTTGGGAAGACTGCCCTAGCTGTCACACTGATTGCATCTTTCATGCCCTGCAGCAAAGGTTGATCCCATTTTTGGCCAGGAGATGGAGCTACCGACATCAAGCTAGTCTTGATTGTCCATTTACCATTCTAAAGTCTAAACCCACTGACCATCAAAGTGGCTCCCATTGCTACCTCACCCAAGCCAAACATTCCCGATACTTTAAAAACATCATATGGCCAGGCGGTGGTGGCGCACGCCTTTAATCCCAGCACTTGGGAGGCAGAGGCAGGCGGATCTCTGTGAGTTCGAGACCAGCCTGGTCTACAGAGCTAGTTCCAGGACAGGCTCCAAAGCCACAGAGAAACGCTGTCTCGAAAAACCAAAAAAGAAAAAAAAAATAAAAATAAAAACATCATATGGGGGCGTGTTCAATAACAGAGTCCTTGACTCGTGTACAGGAAGTCCTGGATTCAATTCTCAGTGACACAAACACACACACCATCAAAAAAAAAAATCAAAACCCACCCCAGCATGATATTCTTGTTCACAAAGTTTCAACCATATTCCTTATTATTTAGGGTTATAAATATATGTATATATAATGAGTCTTGATATGTATCCCAGGCTGGTCTTGAACTCAAAATCCTACTGGCTCAGCCTCCCAAGTAGTTATTAAAAATGAATTTGATTATATTCCTAGGAATCCTCATAAAAGGTTGAATTTTTTTGTGGGTGTGGTGTGTGGTGTATGTACATACGAGTGTAGGTGTGTGCACATGCATGTGCTGGTACTAATGTACATGTGGAAGCCAGAGGTCAATGTTGGCTGTTTTTTTCAACGACTTTGCAACTTCTTTAAATTTTTTGAGACAGGGTTACTTTGTGTAGCCCTGGCTGTTCTGGAACTTGCTCTGTAGACCATGATGGCCTTGAACTCACAGAGACCCACCTGCCTCTGCCTCCCAAGTGCTGGGACTAAAGGCGTACACCACCACCAGGCCTTTTCAACTTCTTAAAGAAGTAATTTTATGTGTATGGGTGTTTCTCCTGTATCTGTGCACCAAGCAATGCAATGCTCACAGAAGCCAGAAGAGGGCACCAAATCCCCCTGGAACTGGAGCCGTGAGCTGCCATGTGGGTACTGAGAATGGACCTCTGGTCCTCTGGAAGAGTCAGTGCTCTTACACGCTGAGCCATCTCTATGGCCTGTCCCCCTCCCTCTTAAACCAAGCAGAATATTGTGGCTTCTTTAGGAACACCCTTTTAAACCAAGCAGAATATTGTGGCTTCTTTAGGAACAGTTGTGTACCAACCAACATGCTAGAACACTAAAGATGGGAGCTCAGGGGCTCTGGAAGAGCAGTACTTGCTGTTGACCACTCGGCTGGCCCTCTAGCCTCCTCTCCTCCCTTTTTAGACAATGGGATAGACTGTGCTGGAGGAAGACTGTGAGCGGAAGTGCTGTGCACGGAGCTCATGAAGTGTCCTCAACAGCAGAGGGCGCACCCTTCTGCTGTCTTGTATCTTTCCCACTGAGACCCAGAGCTGGTGCTGAAGCCTCCATCTTAGCCAACCTGGGAGATACTGGTTATCCACATGGGGCACAAAGCTCCCAAAAAACTTGAGTGCCTCTGACCATTTCCTTCTAGATTTATACAAAGGAGCAAAATGAATTTCTGTCAATCAAGTCATTGTTCCTTTCTGCCACCTTTTGTTGAGTCCAGTGCTAAGTGACATGGTCCCTAGACTTAGGGAAACACAATTCCACACTCTTCCCCCGACCCCAGGTCTCATGTAGCCCAGGATGACTTAGAATTTGCTATGTAGCTGAGGATGACCTTGAACTTCTGATCTTCCTGGGTTACAGGTATGTACCAGCACGTCCGGTATTATGTGGGGCTGGGGATGAGGGCAGGCTTCAAGCATGCTAGATATGCACCTACCAACTGCGCTAACCTACTGGTTTTCTATCTTTTTTTAATTTCCTTCTTAACTTTATTTACTATGTTTTAATCTTTGAGAATATCACACATTTATATGACGTATGTTCACACCCACCCCCTTTCATCTGAAACATTAACATCATTTTTGGAAAGGAAGGAAAAGGCTACTTCACTGATGATGTCACAGAGAAGTAAAGTCATGGCTGACAAATTCCCCTCGACCAAGGGCAGGAACTGATGACGATGCTGATACCTGGGCTTCCTCATCGTTCTTCCGTTTCAAAGGCGGCGGTGAGGTAGTCCTTTGGAACAATCCCAACGATGCTGTTCAGCTCTCCTACCCACCAGCCATACATGTTGTACTCCTGAAAGGGAAAAGACGATGGCAGCGGCTGGAGAAATGCTTCTAGAAACCTCACACACTGTGGCTGGTATTCTTGCTGGCTGCCAGAAGAAACCGCAGACACACCCTTCACGGGATTATTGTAGTTAACAAAGTCATCTGTGTTAAAGGAAATGTGCTCATTTTGCTGTCCCCCTGTCTATGAAGCGACTGAGCTTATCTGCATACTTGATGCCCTTTCTTTCAGGGCTGGAGAGATGGCTCAGCAGTTAAGAGCACTGATTGCTCTTCCAGAGGATCCAGGTTCAATTCCCAGCATCCACATGGCAACTCACAACTGCCTGTAACTCTAGGCTCTGATATCCTTATAACAGACATACATTCAGGCACATAATATAAAAATAAGAAAAAAAAACTTTTCTCTTTCTTTCTTTTGAGTCAGGGTCTTCTTATGTAGCCCTGACTGGTCTGGGACTCACTAGATCAGGCTGGTGTTAATTCTCAGAGCCCTTCCTGCTTTTCCCAAGTGTGGATTTAAAGGCCTGAGACACCACATCTCACTTTTCTTTTTTAAAAAATAATTGCCATATATTATTTTTAATTGTGTGTGTATATGTGTATGTGTGTGCGTGTGTACTTGTGTGTAGGTAAGGTGCCCTTGGAGGGCAGAGGAGTCAGATCTCCCTAGAGCTGGGGTTAAAGGTGTTTGTGAGTCACTTGATATGGGTGCTGGGAATTGAACTCAGGTCCTTGGGGAAAAGTGGTACATGCTCTTAGGTGCTGAGCCATCCTTCCAGACCCCTCCCCTCCAACCAAGTGAATGCTACGGCTTCTTCAGAGAAGGTTGAACACCAACTAAAATGCCAGAACACTAAAGATGTTCAGGGCGACAGGTCATAGTTCAAATCAATACGATCCATCAAGCATCTTCCTTGTGCAAAGTGCTATCTGGATTTCCTCAAGGGACAGAATGATGAGTCAAACACTACTTGTTCCTTGGGAGTTTATAGGAGAGAGTAATGGCCTTTGGAGTCAGATAGGCTGGGAGCAAATCCTCAGCTGGCCATTTAGCAGCCACGTGACCTTAGGTTCTCGTTTTTGCTTTACTGATCTGCAGGAGTGCGGATGTCTTTTCCTCTCCATGCGGTGAGGATGGAAGTGACGCCATAGAAACAGGACAAGAGAAAGTGCTGAACTGACCATCCGTGTTCTGAGCCTTAGATTCCTCCCTAGGAGAGGTGCGAGGAGGGGGGTATAGCAATAACGACAGGCAGGTAGTTAATGACAGAGAGGAGCAAACAAGAAAGGGCCTGAGAGTCTTTCACTTCAGTTGGGTGTCGGGACTGTGATGCTACCCACATTTTGCATTGCTGGTGGCTGAGCTTTAGGGGAAAAAAGAAGCAAAGCAGGTTGGGGACCATGTACAGTTCAGGCTCCCTGGCTTTAACTGGTGATCTTGTGTCTGGTGTGAGTCTCCTTCTCCAACTCCTCTGCTTCCCCTGCTCCCCCTCACTCAGCAGATCACCTCCTTCGCTTCCAAAGAGAAAAGAGAAAGTCAGACGTGTTTGTGTTCCATCTCCAGTCACCAAGGAATGACTGTACTGACAACCCTTCCTCTCCCAGTCAAATAGGGGATGCAGCCCTCTCTGGGCTTAACTCTTCCCCTCTGCCCTCCTTTCCTCCCTCCATTTTTCTTCCCTCTCTTCCTCCTTCCTTGTCCTTTCCTCCCTTCCTTTGTTTATTTCATGGAGTTTTCAGAGCTGCCTCTCTTTCCCATTAGCTCTGAAATGCACATATGTCTTTCATTGTTGAAAATAATTAGTAGTCTCCACTGCATGCCTGCTTCCCATGTCTGCTAGTCTACACTGACCTGCACCTCAAACTTCCTGATTTGCTTCCTCCACTTCCTGTCTGTTCATCCTTCCAGCTGCTCTGGTCCAGCCTCTGCCCCATCACTCTACTTTTAATTTATTTCCAGACAGAAGTTTCTCTGTGTATCCCTGGATATCCTGGAACTTGCCCTGTAGACCAGGGCTGGCCTCGAACTCAGAGATCCGCCTGCCAAAGCCTCCTGAGCTGGGATTAAAGGTGTGTGCCACCACTGCCCAGCTATTTATTATTTTTGTGGTATTGTTTGGCTTTATAGGCCTGGATATCTGTGAACTTGCCACATCTGGCTATTATAATATCCCATGTCATTCCCTCCATGGTCTCCCAACACCTGATGATTGGACAGATTCTCTGTGTCCTTCTGGGCCCTCTCAGCAGCTCCGTTATCACTATGATTCTCTCTTCTCTTACTTTCTGTAACTATCGCCTTTCCATTCCCGTCCTACCTCTGTGGTTTCTGCTTCTTTGTCTTTGCAGGCTCATCTTCTCTCCCTTTTATTTTTAATTTTTAAAAATATTTATTTATTATGTATACAATATTCTGTCTATGTGTATGCTTGAAGGCCAGAAGAGGACCTCATTACAGATGGTTGTGAGCCACCATGTGGTTGCTGGGAATTGAACTCAGGACCTTTGGAAGAGCAGGCAATGCTCTTAACCTCTGAGCCATCTCTCCAGCCCCTGCTTGGTGTTTATACTTTACTATGTATTCAGTGTTCTGTCTGCATGTCTGTCTGAATGCCAGAAGAGGGCGCCAGATCTCATTACAGATGGTTGTGAACCATCATGTGGTTGCTGGGAATTGAACTCAGGATATCGGAAGAGCAACCCATGCTCTTGACTGCTGAGTCATCTCTCCAACCCTTCTCTCCTTTTTAATGTGTTTTCCAGGGTCTTTCCTAGTCCTCTTCAGATTTACAATCTCATGTACCTTTTTAGTTTTATCACCCTATTTTTGTGAATGGCTTATGAACAATTAAGGATTCAAGCACAGATGAAAGAGCTAGGTCCCAGGACCTAAGTGTGAACTTGGGACTAACAGATCAGTCAGAAAAGCGCCTGCTGTACAAGAATGAGGACCCGAGTTTGATCCCCAGAACCTACAAGAAAAATCTGGGCATGGTGGTACACCCTTGTAATCCCAGGGCTGGGGAGGTTGAGACAGGTGGAGTTTGCTGGCCAGCAAGCAGGTAGATTTCTGAGTTCAAGGTCAGCCTTGCCCAGTTGGTGATCTCTAGGTCAGTGAGAGATCCTCTTTCAAAAACCAAGGGAACAACTAAGAATATTCTCTGGCCTCTACACCCATGTGCAGGCACATACAGGGGCACACACACAAATCAACAACCCCCTCAAAAAGCAAAACACCCAACCAGGTGGCAGCAGCACTTGGGAGGCAGAGGCAGGCGGATCTCTGTGAGTTCAAGGCCAGTCTGGTCTGCAGACTGAGGTCCAGGACAGCCAGGACTCGTTATAGATGGTTGGGAACCATCATGAAGTTGCTGGGAATTGAACTCAGGACCTCTGATTCTACACAGAGAAACCCTGTCTCGAAAAACAAAATGAAACAAAATCACAAAAAAGTCCCCCAAGTACATGTCCACCAAGCTGCTGAAGCTCAGGGTGCCCTGTATGTAACCCATGAAGCTGCTCCCATCCCTATCCCTACTCCCCGGCTCGCTTTGCTTCGGAAGGTCTTGACCTCAGTGAGTAATACCAAGATGCCCTTACTTATTTAGGGCAAAAAATCAAGTCCTTCCCAACTCCACCCCTACCTTCCAGTCAATTCTGTTAGTCCACTCTCCAAACGTTTCCTGAACTCTACCCACTTCTCCACCCCCATTGCCAACACCCTAGAGTCACATGACTACCTCTCATGAGGGCTACAGAAACACCCTGCAGTTCTTCTTGGTTCCCGCTCCCGTCTTTCCCCACCATACTTTTCATCCTATAGTCAGAACATTCTGGATTTGCACAGATGATGCGGCTACTCTCTTAGTGGGGTTCCCCATGCCCCTTGACAACTTTTTTTTTTTTTTTTTTTTTTTTGAGATGGATCTCTCTACATAGTCCTGGCTGTCCTGGAACTCACTATGTAGACCAGGCTGGCCTTGAACTCACAGAGATCCACCTGCCTCTGTCTCCTGAGTGCTGGGATTAACGGCATGGGCCTCTTGCCATCTTAACAAGGTGGATGAGGCCCCTTGTGGCCCTGTCTTGTTCAGCGCCTGGCACTGTCATTGGCCTCCTTATTAAAACAGCACTCACCTGGCTACTTTCACAGGCCACAGGCTCTCTCGTGCTTGGAGCCTTTCTTCTGCCTTTACAGCTCCTGCTTCTCTACGTCATGGGGCTCCCTCCCTTCTAGGCACCCTTCAGATTTCAACTCCTGAGTTACATGCTCTAAGATATAACCCCCTCCCCCCGCCACTCTGACTGGGTAAGAGGGCTCCACTCTGTGGTCTAACCCTATGCTTGCCCAGAGAAGCGTTAACACACCATGCTGCCTTAGTCACTAGATGGGAAGTGAAGTGCTCTCTTTCTCTCTCTTTTTTCTTTTTGGACAGGGTTTTGTGCAGCTGAGGCTGGCCTTGAACTCCTGATCCTCCTGCCTCCTGAGTGCTGGGTCTACAGGTGTTTACCTCCACACCTGGCTGAGATTAATTCCATTTCCATTCTGTTGCTATGACGAAACACTCAGACCAAAAGCAATTTAGGGGGATGTAGTGGTTTGGATGAGAATGGCTCCAAGGCTCACATATACGCATGCCTAGTCCACATCTGAGAAACCGTGTGAGGAGGATTAGGACATTTCACCTTGCCGGAAGAGGTGTATCACTGGGAGTAGGCTTTGAGGCTTCAAAAGCCATGCCAAGCTCAGTCTCTCTCTCTCCTCTCTCTCTCTCTCTCTCTCTCTCTCTCTCTCTCTCTCTCTCTCTCTCCCCCCGCTGCCTATAGAGCAGGATGTAAAGCTCTTAGCTACTACTTCAGAGCCAAGCCTTCCGTTTCCTGGCCATGATGATCATGGACTATATATAACTCTGTGAAACTGTGAGCAAGGCCCCAGTTAAATGCTTTGGTCATGGTGTCTCTTCACAGCAATAGATCAGTCACTAAGACAAGGATAAACGGGTT